ATCCTGTTCCTAGGGCATCGATTTCATCAAGGTTCTCTTGTGTCCTAGACGTGGCTTATTTGTACAGAAGTCTTGTGATTGCTGTAATTTATAATCATTGCAACTTGAAAGCCCTTTCCTTAAACCCACTAGCTGTGGTTCTTTCATACGTATTATTTATTCATCTGTGATGCTTGTGATAAGATGTGCCACACTAAACATCCCATTCTGTGCCCTCCAATGGGATAAACATGTTTTAGACTTGCAGCCGTTTCAGATGCGTGATGATTTCCCTGGAAACTATGCCATGGAAATGGGCAAAGTACACTACTAGGGTGGAAGGATGATCTCTGCTAGAATAAAACCTGCACCACAAGGTTCCAATGTGAATGACTGCACAACTGTGGGGTTTTCAGAATTACCTGCAAAATTTCTCTCCACACTTAAGCTAACTCAAGAAGACCTGCAGGGTATCTGGCCACTGTTAGAATCAGGCCCAAAACGTGCTTGTTTAGGAGTATTATTTAAGAAAAACGGCACAGCTGGGCTTGTGGCTAAGGGTGAAGGCTGGAGATCCACAGGTACGTATTCTGTTCCCAGTGCTGATCTAGCTATTTTAACCCTTCTTACCCCAGCATCTCAGCATTCCTGTCTTCGGTGTTGTGAGCATTAAATTAATTGATGTTTGCAAAGCATGTTGAATTCTTGGAGTGAGGCTGCTGGAGAGGGCAACCGTATTATGTAGCGCAGCACTTGAAATGCACCTGTCACTGTGATATCCAGCATTAGATAGCTGAATTATTATTCTGCCCGCTCCCTGGGTCTGTCATAGCCACTTATTTTTCTGACAAAATGTTTTTAAAATCCTGTTAGCTTTACAGAGTTTCTCTAGCTATGGGAGAGTGAGCTGGCAGCTATTTCTGCTCATGCATCAGCTGAATTGTCAGTTACGTTTTGATTGCAGAGTCTTTTAACAATGATAAGGTAAGAAGCCTGATTTTCAGATATCTCTTGAAGTGTGCAGTGCTGGCAGCAGAAGAATCCTTCTTTGACTTATAACCTGAGCCAATTTGCTCTGAAATCAGTGACAGCAAGTAAATATGGAACCTTGCTGTGCTGTTAGACAGTCATTTTCCACCACCTAACTGCACATTAGTGTATTAATTTTAGTATAGAAATAGCAGTCCTTAACTAGGTTTCCCCCCTTCACAATCTTTAACTAGGTTTCCCCCCTTTTTTTCCTCTCTCCCCACTTGAAATCACACCTAAAATTATGAATTGCCTTGTCACAGCCATCGCTTCTCTCAGCGTACGCTGAATTTGTGCATCACTGTGAGGCTGTAGCTTTATCTGATGTGAATCCATGTGACAACTGCCACGTCTAGGACACAGCCAGGTCACCAGAACTGGATGACAAAGATCTGACAGCAGCTGGATCTGAAAGATAGAAGGCATTTAGAGTTTGTCCTTGTGTAGGGCCCTCCATGTTGTTCCACGTTTGATTGATTGGTGGCAGAGTACACAGGGCTATCTGCACAGGCTGGATAACAGTTCTTGGAAAATCGGTGGCTGCTGAGGCTGTGTTTGTGTACTCAGCTCAGGCTTTGGCCTGAACTGTCCTGACAGTTTGTTTTGAAGACAGGAGGTCATTGGTCTCAGTTGCCTGGAAATCGTGCTATTTTGGCTCTCCAGGATAAAAAAAGGGCTTGAAGTGGCTGGGGAAGAAAAGTAGCGGCCACATGAATATATACAGAGAGGCCTCTAGAAAGCAGCAAGTTGATTGCCCTGAGATTCAGAAACCTTCAGGTTTTTTCTCCCTGGCAAATGCAGTGCCATCCTGCCAGACTTTCTCGCTGCACTGTGACCTGCCCCATGCTATTTTGGCTCTCCAGGATAAAAAAAGGGCTTGAAGTGGCTGGGGAAGAAAAGTAGCGGCCACATGAATATATACAGAGAGGCCTCTAGAAAGCAGCAAGTTGATTGCCCTGAGATTCAGAAACCTTCAGGTTTTTTCTCCCTGGCAAATGCAGTGCCATCCTACCGGACTTTCTCGCTGCACTGTGACCTGCCCCGTCCCTGATCTGGATGGAGATTTAAGTAACATCTCTCCACTGGACTTAAACCACCAACCTCCTTTCTCAGGAACTTTTGACAGCAGCTAGAATGCTCTTTGACCGCCACCTCAGGTGCTGGGCCCGACTGGACACAAAAGGCTCCTTGTCTCAGAGTTAGTCCCTTCAACCATCCAGTCTTGCCCGTTGGGCCAAACATTTTCCAAATAGCTGCTTCCTTCATCAGTGATTTAGCTAGGAAACCATGAAGCAGGCAGGAAATGTGCCCGCCTCAATTAGAAGCAGCAGGAGTTGATGTATGAATATTTAACACGGGCAAGGTAGCTGGATGAAAATACTAATTTAGCAACATTCTAACTACCAGAAGA